TATATATATATATATATATATATATATATATATATAATTGTATATAAAAATATCGACTACTTATATTCATTAATCGTTAATATGCTATAGATATTTTTCATTATCTATGCTTTCGCAATTAAGAAAAAACACAGCGTCATTATCGTTAATGTAACATAATATTGCGCAACTTATTATAAGAGGCAAATAAATTTCGATGCAAGATAATTAATCAAAAATCATTTAGCTAAGTATTAAATATTTAATTTATTTATACGAGATATTTACGAAGTACATCTTTTTGGCACGTTTTTCAGTTCTAAACTATAAATAAATATCGTCGCACAAAATGACGGTGTATCCTTTACAGTTAACATTTATATAAACGATTACATGTTCCAGAATATATATATGGTAATAAACCGAATAATTCGTGTAATAACGTTCCTGAACACTTTAAATACAATTAAATACAAGAGTCATTTATTTTCAGTACACACATACGCACGCACGTACGCACGCACGCACAGGTATCTAATTTTAGTAAATAAACGCGAATTTCAGTGCCAAACGGTCGATGACGTTAAAACTCACACGAAATACTCGTGAAAGTTAAAGATGACGTTAATATAAATGATCAAAGAACTGTAATATGAGATAATAGATCTTTCGATCGTAGATATTAATACATTCTGTTAAATATGTCGAATTTCTTTCCAAAAAAGCTTCTTTTTCGTTAATATTTGTAAACACAAAAACTATTTACAACAATTATAAAAAAACAAAAAAATAACAATATATTTATTTAATATATGTATATGCATATTTATCGTGCTATAGTATCGAACGATAATTTCTTTTTTGCATCACATTACGAGGAGTGCAATGACAATAATAGAAGTTATATAACTTACAGTTAGTGCAATGTTGCAAACGTTAAGAAATTTATTGATTCATTAATCATATTCTACTCGAAGAATTTGCCTGGAAGGTTTATGGAAGGAAAAAGAAAGAATAGAGAGAAATGGTAACTGTTTGATAGCACGTTTGCTAAATGATTAACGCGACTTCTTGTAAACGAATAATAAGCCCCCCCAGATGCTTTGAGTTTTCCACTTGATAAGAAGACATAGTAAAAGATTCCATGAGTGTGTTGATAGAGAAACATTATGATGTCATCACTTTTACAGATTTCTGAATCTTAAAACTTCTCTTTGAACTTACGTACATACATTATATATATATATATATATATATATAGATACACATGTGTAGTACGTGTAATTCTCACCGTTAACGACAAATGTTTCGTGTAATCATACTGATAATTTATAACTTCCTTTAGAAATAACCTGGACACGATATGGACGATTCATGTGTCGTCGATTTTGTGAATATTACAGAACTGATTACAAATCTTCGGACATATATTTATGTTTAAATAATTACGTACGTTTTTGATAAAACTCATTTTTCTTGTCTTCTACTCTTGCTCTTATTTTATTTTAATAAAAACGGATATAAAAAAAAAACAACAATTGAATATAATGATTTGATTTTACATTCAAGAAAACAGAGTGCATAAACATCATGCATCGTTGAGAAGAAAAAATACGGTAATTAACCTTACTTTTTTCAAGGTTAACCATTACGACAACTCTTTTTGAAACGTAATTATTGCGTCATTCTTCTTTCAAATAACGATGGTACACCAAGTGTAATATTTATTGTGCCTTTGAAGTCAGCATATACGTGCTCGCAATTACCCGAATACAAATGTAAAATATATAGTTGCGGGACACTTGGTACATGCATAATTATAATAACAGTAGAAATGTCAAGACAAACATAACTAATACTGATAAGAGTGTTACATTTCTCATAACAAGAAGAAAGAAAGTTATTAACATTAATTAAATCGATTTGAGATCAATATTTGTTATATTCAATATAAATGAGTTTACGTAAGAAGATTAAATATATTATTTGTTGAACAAAATCGTGAATATTTTTAGGTTAAGAAAGCAAAATGCAATTATATAATATTTAATCTGCATTGAAGTATAATTCATTAATGAATATATTAATAATTAACAAAGAGAGATAGTAATTAAGATATATTTATATAAATAATTTTTGCGCGCGCTAATATGATTGGTCAACAAAGTTGGCGCGAGGAAGATGGCACCCAGTTCATAAATGCACGTGATTGGCTAATCCGTTAAATTTGCGCATGCGTACTATGTATTAACAATTGTCGATCGTCTACGAAAAGTTGCGGAAATGTCCGAGGATAGAAGTAGAAGTATGAGTAAAGAGCGGAATAAAGGGAGGAGTAAGAGGATAGTCGTTTTTCATTCTGAACGTTTGTGCGATCATCGTCAATTCGTTATTATCATTGTGTACGAGCTGCTTCCACGAGGTTGGCGCGCTCGCGCGCTCCTTAACGTGCGATTATTTTTCGTTGATTGTGTTGTACAGTATCAGAAAAAGAAGAAAAAGAGGAAATTAACAACCGGCCAGTTGTCTCCCGCGTTTCCTAAATCATCATTTGTATTTCTACCGCGTATTCTCGTTCAATCATCCATATTTAGTAGAAGTGTATAAATAATTTTTAAAAAACAAAAAATAAAAAGCAATAGATAACGATTTATATCTTTTTCTGCTGTCGAGGTCGTCATCGTTGTCGATAGGCTTGTTAAGAATTTTCTTCCATTAACTTTTGCAAACGTGCCATGAGTGGTAGTAGGGCCAATGGCAATGAAAACGGGGGGCGAAGGAATGGCCACGTGCTGGTGTGGGAACAACCGGGTTTGGAAGAGAACGACAAGCCGGTGCGAAGACGGAAAGGTATCTTTTAACTTTGTTTTATTTCCTTTGTCATGAGGAAAATGGCAATTTCTCTTTGTAAATTCTCTTTCTCTTTCTGTCTCCAGTATACTTTGTATGTATAATATATGTATATATGCATATAAGTATTGTGTCTCTTTCTATTTCACTTTTTCTTTCTTTCTACATGTGTGTATCTTTTTCTAATATATTACGAGCAGTCTTGTTTCATCCTTTTCCTACCAATGCCATCGAAAAAGTCTGGCCGATAGCCCGTGTTTCGTTTCGAGAATAGCATGTCGAGAATTCGCTTACATCCAATAGGTGTATTCAGAAACACACACGTTTCTCGCACCGGTTTAAAGAAAAAGAGAGGGAAAAGGGAAAAAGGTAAAGGAAGGCGAAACACGAGACACGCACGTGCGCGCTACACTTCATGCGCATCCCACGAATTTATTTCCCCTCTCCCTCAATACCAAGAAAATCATACTAATATACATATTTCAATATATAATGTATACTTATCCATTTAACTTACTCTTCAATGAATCGAACATATTCATCAAACATTATAAATTGATATGAATTTATTTTTGTCAATTTAATGTATACAGTGTTAATGAATTTTGTATAGAATTAACATAATGCATATGGTTTTAGAATAGAATTCCTTTGTTTCCTCTCTTTGTGTATTTTTTCGTTCGATTAAACATCATACTTTTGGCACAAGCTACTATCTACTTATGTTCAGTAAATTTCTGGATACATGGAGGATGCGTTCGTGTGTAAACGAGTTTACTCATCGTCATCTGTTAATAGAAATAAAAACGTCAATGGTTATATTTAAAGAGTAATAAAACAAAAAAAAAAGCCAAAAAAAAACCAAAAAAGAAACGTGCTCATCTATACACTTACAAAATACGTTCGTTCTTTCTTTACTCTGCTTTGCTTTAGCGAGGTCACAATATTTTTTCTGATATTGAATTTGATTGAATTCTATTAAATGTAACGAGCAAGTAATATTGAATATATATTTAGAGATAAATTGCTATCTACTCGGAATTAGAAAGGAGTTTCAGAGGGAGAGAGAGAGAGAAAGAGAGAGTGAGAGATAGAAAGAGACATTTCATGAAATTTATTAGATCATATTTGAAATATACTTGACGTGTACAATCAACGTTGTTATCTCGGTAATTAATCGGAACACTTTGGAATGCTTTTGAATGTTCTTCGCATAATAATTCACCTGTAAATGTATAAGCGAATTTTTAAGTTGTTATATTCCATAAATTCTTTGAACGTCGTATTATTTCGTCAAAATTCTGATTAGATATTACCCAAGACAAGGGTACAATGCTTGTACGTCTGCTGCGACCCAAATACTCTGACCATGATATGTATATTTTTAACAATTTAGAAGAATTAACAACAAAAACGAAATCAGTAATCTTTTATTTCTTTATTGTTTTTTAATTCATTTTTTATGCATCTCGACGAATGGAAGAAAAAATAAGATGAGCTTAGAAGTGAGAAAGATTATGCAATAGCAGGAAAATTTAATAGCTAGATAAAGAACTAAACGCGTTTTAAACTACGTGAGTCATGTCGTTAAGCGTGTAATAGATAAGAATTTTTTGATTTTGATAGGAAAAAATTGAAAGAGAAAAAAATTATTTTTTGACCGATATTTTTATTTTTTTTATTTTTTTTTTTTCTTCGAAATAATTTGAGAAACTCAGCGTGGTATTTTTCATGTCTGACACGAGTCAAGGTCACGTTGTAAGATTGCATTACAAGTTTATAACGGTTATATCGTCGAGAAGTTAGCAGCAAAAATGGCGAAATGTGATTACTCGTAAATTCGATTGTTTAGGTCGATCTACTAATTTGTTTTTAATTTTCTTTCATAATTTCTTTTTTAATTTTTAAAAATAATTTAATCGTTAGATTTATTGTTTCTTGTTATTTGTTCTGTTATTTTTATTACTTATTGTTATATATAGATTGCCTTTTCCTTATCTTTTAACTAGAAAAAAAAGAAATTTAATATGGATTTAAATTGAAAAAAGAAAATGAACAGAAGAATGTTTCTGCAGGTGATGATCGCTTGCATTGATATTAACTGTAATAAGTATTTCATTGGTTTTCTTGTATTTGCAAACATTTATTATAGCGTCAGCAAATCATTAACACTAATCGATCAAACTACATCAATTTTATTTTTTACAATTAATAATAATGATAATCGGTGTAAAATCAAGTGAAGAAATGCAATGATATCGAGCGCAGGAATGTCTTGCAAGAGTAGTCAAGTTTTTTAATTTAAGAAGAAATAAGATTATAAGAAACGAAGAAGAAAAATACTTTCATGCGTGTATGTGTAAGTAAATGAGTCGTGTCGTATGGCTGGTTAGTTTTTCTTTATTTCTATTTCTTCCTATTATTCTACGCGATACAAAAAAAGGATCATTTTCCCTCGACAATGAACTCTCCTCTTCTTTCACTCCTCCCCCTCCAACCCCTCTACCGCTATTTTTCGACTTGGAACTATTTTTCTATTGCGTAGCCCTTCCACGTGCTTGAGCGGTGCATACCGAATCTTACCGAAGATGGTCGACAATTGTCGATTTTCGTCTACTCTCTTTCTATTTCTTTTTTAATAAATTTACGTGTAATATGAAACTTTCTTTTTATTAAGCAAGATTATTGTTTATAATCATCAAATTCTTTTTTAGAATTTAAAAATATGTACAGGAAGAATGTATATATTATAGTGATCGTATGGAAGATATTAAATTACATGCACACGCTCGATAAAAATGGCGCGCTTTTATAAACGATTCAAATTTTCCCGTCTCGTTTCGTAAGATTTATAGTTTGCATGAATAAATAAAAATATTTCAATATTAAATGTATATATCATTTAGATTAATGAATACGTAAATTTGTGTGTACACGCGTACTTATTGATGTAACAATAAGCGAAACTCGTCTGGATTTTAGCCAATAAATTTAGCCTTCATTCCCTTTTATTATCTCAAAAGCATTCCTTGACTATTTCAATTCAAAAGTAATAAACAGAAGAAAAAAAAAACATCGAAATTTTGATTCTGATAGAATTATCTGATCGATCAGTTATTTTTTATTTTCGATCGACCCTTAAATATTATTAATTATTACCGTATTTATATATGAAACACACACGCATATATACATATACACATAATTGACGTTCTCCAGTGTATTTTGTTTCTTAGGGTCAAATGAACAATCCCAGATAATGAAAGATCGTTTTAAAGAAAACTTTACTCGGTTCGATAGAATAATTGACTTCAATTTAGTTTGTCTTTTATATATATATATATATACATGTACATATGTGTATGCATATATATGTAATGAACGTAAGTGCTAAAGTCTCTTTCGTCTCGTTAATAATGGCAATGCTGTGTCAGCAGTTCACCATAGTGATTTATTACAAAACTACTGAATATACTAGAAATCTGTAACTATCTTTTTATATCTTTGACAATGAACTAATTGTGAGATTATTGGAACAATTTGCATTTCAATAGAACACACAGTAATATATACATATATGTACCTATGTGTATAATCATAGAGCTTGGAAAGGTAACAAAAATTAGAGTAAGATAGTCGTCATCATCTTTCTGTGTAATCGGTCATGTGTGTTTTATGTATACGGCGCCACCCCACAAGGACACTCATTCATCGTTTTAAAATATGTACACTTCTGTACAAATTATTACTGTATATATCATGTAACATTTGTAACTGTATAAGTTATCACTTGCACTCATACACAATACACACATTTGTATAGTCTAACGTATTCTATTTGCACTATTGTTGCTATTATAATGATATGAAAATTAGAAAATTGAAGACACTCTACAGATTGGTATAGTACAGATAATATGCATATTATTAGACAAGAACTTTTAATATAAGTTGTTTGTGCGTTGCAACGTTGCAACGTTTCATTTCCGTAACATTTTGCATGAATCATCAAACATATTTTCTTTTTCTTTTACACTTCTTTTTTTCTGGAAATACATGATTCATCCATCATCAATCAAACATAATCAAATTGGATTAAGAATTACCTGTGATTATGACGGCAACTATTAAAATAATTATTAACACTTGAACTATATTTAATAGAAAATATTAGATGAAGACATTATATTTGTCTATCTTATTTTACATTGACGCAAATCATATAATCTAGAAAAGAAAAAATTATCTTCAGCTGAGAATTTACATGAATTATTCAATATTATTTTTCTAACCTTCTCGCCTTCTATCTTTGAAATTAATAATAATGTAATAGAGATAATCTCTATTATATAGAATGTGTTTTATTAACGAATAAAATCTTTTCTGAAACTGGAAGGATTTTTCTTTTTTAAATTAATATTATAAAAACTTTAAAGGAATGGTTTAATTAAGAAAAAAAAGGTTGTTGGGGTTGGCTTACAGGTCTGCTGGGAACACGTCACGTAGTCACATTTATGCTTTTTCTTGGCATGGCAAATGCCTATGTCATGAGGACCAACATGTCTGTGGCAATTGTTGCTATGGTCAACCATACGGCTATCACCGGAGATAAAGAAGTTGTTACGAACGAGTGCCACATCGATAATGATAATAAGAATACTACTGTATTAATGAATCATGTAAGTAGTCCATTAATCTAAATCTATCTCTTCATATCATATAAGTTTTTATTATATTATGAATTTTAAATAACTATTATATGTATATTTATCTTGGAATTTACAGAAAGATGGCGAATTTGCCTGGGATACCAAAGAACAAGGCTATCTATTAAGCTCATTTTTCTATGGATATGTTCTTACTCAAATACCTTTCGGTATGCTTGCCAAACGATATGGATCTAAATATTTTCTTGGCATTGGCATGTTGATCAATTCAATATTTGGACTATTAGTTCCTTTGTCAGCACATCAGGGCTTTTTTTCGCTAATGGTAGTTCGATTTATTCAAGGCTTAGGTGAGGTAAGTAGTCCTTTGTACTCCAAATATATTATTATAGTAATAAAAAAAAGTTATGAAATATTGAAAAATTACACCATGTGTGTGTATATATGTATATGTATATGTATATGTATATGTATATGTATATATATATATATGTATATGTATATGTATATGTATATGTATATATAAATGAGATGAGAATGTATGTTACGGGAAAATTGGTTATATATTCTCTCTAATGTAAAATATTGTTCATTAACTACATGATACACGTAGATTTTGATCTTCTATTATTATTTAAATACAGGAAATATGCATACCATGAAATGAATGTAAGTTTTAGATGATTAATATATTTTAAATTATTTATTATAATTAATATAAAAAAGAAAAATTAAAATTAAATAAATCTGTTTTTATAGTACGAACAAAACTTGCATCCAATTTGAATATATTTTTAATGCGTATGTTCAGCCAATACAAATGTTAATGTAGAAATTATTAATTCTTAGATTAAGATTCTTTTTATCTTGTTAATTCTTAGATTTAATTTGAAACAAATCAAAAGTCAATGTTAAATTTAAATTAAAGGATTACATATTCGTTGAGTGTGAACGCTTTTTGATTGTTTGGGTGTGATTTCCTCCCCCTAGGAATGGATTATCCCTATTGCAGGGTCCAATTGTGCCTTGCACGCACGCACTGTTGGCAAAATGGATACCACCAAACGAGAGGAGCAGGATGGGAGCCTTCGTCTATGCTGGTAAGCTTGTACAGTGCGATACTTAATAATGTAGCACTCTTGTACATACCAACTGACCGTGAGTCCTGCGAGTCCTCTGGATATTTCAATGCATCCAATCATTGTGTACTTCTTGCTACGATGGAATTGGAATCGCAGGAGTGGTGGACCCTTTTGGTTCTTGCTTATCCACTGTTCTTAATGACTCACAGTAGGTTATCCTTTTCACATCCAAACATTATTATTAATTCGATGTTGTTTTCTCTTTTATCTATAGGTGCTCAGTTTGGTACAGTCATTTCAATGCCATTAAGTGGTCTGTTATCTGAATATGGATTTTCTGGTGGTTGGCCATCAATATTTTATGTCTTTGGCGCTGTTGGTATTCTCTGGTGTATAGCCTTTTTCTTTCTGGTTTATGAAGATCCAGAAAATCATCCACGTATTTCTGAAGATGAAAAAAAATACATAGTCAGTGCCTTATGGGGAAATGCTGGAGCATCTGTAAATATTTTTTAGAATTATAATTATTATTATTATTTTCTTCTTCTTATGTGTTATTATGAAATGTCCATATTTGATGCTATCTATTTTATACAGTCTCCGCCTATACCTTGGAAATCAATCGCTACTTCAAAGCCTTTCTGGGCTATTTTGATAGCACATATGGGTCAAAATTATGGATACGAAACATTGATGACTGAACTTCCAACATTTATGAAACAGATTTTACATTTTGATATCAAATCTGTGAGTCATATCAACAATTTACATAAACAAATAATCAATCATTCAATCAATTACAAATTATGTAATATAAATAACGTATATGTATATATATTATTTCAGAATGGACTTGTATCGTCTCTTCCTTACCTTAATATGTGGATTTTTTCACTAATACTTAGCCAAGTAGCCGACAAAATGATTTCGTCAGAAAAATGTAGTCTTACTAGTACACGTAAAATTGTCAATAGTATTGGTCAGTATGGACCAGCAATAGCATTGGTAGCAGCATCTTATACGGGTTGCAATCCATGGTTGACAATAATTATCCTTACTATTGGGGTTGGTTTTAATGGTGGTATTTATTCTGGTTTCAAAGTTAACCATCTTGATATCTCACCAAGATTCGCAGGAGTTTTGATGGCATTCACAAATTGTCTTGCTAACCTAGCTGGATTACTTGCACCGATAGTAGCTGGTCATATAATCGTTGGCACGGTAACAGAATTATAATAGTTAATTATTCATAAGGTTCATTACTATTATTATTATTATCACCATTATTATTATTATTATTATTATTATAGCCAACTCATCTAAAATGGAGGATTGTCTTTATGATTTCGGCAGCTATTTATGTGCTATGCGCAACATTTTATCTCATGTTTGGTTCCGGAGAAAGACAATCTTGGGATAATCCTGAAAAAGACGAGGAAAAAGAAGAGAGCAAAGAATTGGATAATGTTAAAACAGTCAACGAAACTGAACACTAATGTGATTTTAAAATAATGCTTGCCATGGTATTTAAGTTTTTTCTGCCATCAAGCTAAATGCTAAATATGTTGATATGGTTCCAGTCGCGGGTGGCACTTATCTGCCTTAAAGTACATCCATTCCCTCCGTTATTATTTAGCCGTGCTGGATGATTGCGCTATGTTGTAGTATTTAACTATAAGTTAATTTTAAGTTATTTTTTATTTTATTTTTATTTTTTTTCTAATTAATACGAACAGTGTTCAAATTTTAATAACACTGATCACATGAAGAGTTGCATATCAGAATATATATATATCACTGACGTTTGTATCGCGTTGTAAATGTTGAATTCGATCAATATTTCCATTATTTCATAGAATACGTGTTGAAATTAGAGTGCGTGCGTGAGAGAAAGCAGAGAGAATTGAAGAGTGTATGAGTTATAAAAAAATGAAAAAATATATACGACTGTGACATACTCCAAACAGGATATGTATATTACGTTTAACATCTAAAAAAGAAAGAATCATGAAATTTTAAATAACATCTCCTTAAAGGTATAACAACATTTTGAATTGATTTAGCTAAATTAGCGGTAATTATTTAATTGTATTCAATGTTTCTATGCAATGACATTGATAAACTTTGAGGAGCATCAAAAATGACTTAAAAATATCTTGGAATCAGAATCTTGAAATAAAAAATATCTAGGAAATTATAGATAATGCTTCGCATTGTATTCAAAGATGTATCTTCGAAATATTTTTTCTTTTTATCTTCTTTTTCCAAATATTTAAGCACAAAATTATGATCTGTTAGATTTTGCGTAGTTAAAATATAAACGAAAGAAAGAAAAAAATAATATAAATTAAGAAACACTATCCATAGATTTAATATTGAATTACGTGAACAATGAAAACTTACTTAGCGTATTATAAAAACAAGAATACACAAAGATTATAATGCGTTTTTGCATAGTTGTTCAGATATATCTAATTTGGACATTAATCTTATTGATTATATTTATACTTGAGATTCTTCTTTCGTGAGTTAATAAATTAAACTATATTTTTTTGTCCAAATTAGATCAAATTAATTAACAAAGTTGGCAGCAGTATTAAAGTAAAAGTTCTCATTTGTTCATCTTTTGTTTTTTTTCTCACTACATCACGAACAGTTTATTATTGTTAACTATTATGTATCATTTTGTATTGTGTTAGGACAGACAATATGATTGCATAAAAACAGTTGAACAAAAGTTAACAAAATACTGCCTTCAAGCAGTCGTTGAAAAATAATTATACATATTGCATAATGCAATTAATGATTTATACATATTGTAGATAGTCCCATTAAATATCTAATTAACTTATAGATTTTAGATGAGTTGTCGTACTTTAGTAGTAATTATTTATATTAAAAAGAAAAACAAACTTATTACCTCTGTCACACTTAAAATTTAAGTTACGAAACCGAATGATTTGTGCCTGCAATTTTAGTAGGATGCATTTTTCTATCGATTAAGTTTTTGTTTTGTTTTTAAGTAGCACCAAATTTTTGTAATCATTCGTGACTTAATATTGATTGGAAAGATGCAACTAAAAATTCGATTGGGAAACCAGAGATACATTATCGCTCATCAAAGTAAAACACACTTCCAGAAATAAGATAATCGCGTCTTCCGGCAATTGAAAAGATTGGTTACTTTTAATTAAGAATTTGTTATCTTTAGTATCTAAAAGTTAAGATAAGAATCCTTTAATTAAAGGAAACGAATATTGCCTTAGTTTATTTATCTGATTACAGTCAAATTTAAATCTGATACAAGTATCGTTTTTATATACTTTTCATGAATAGCATTCTTTGATATATAAATTTTGTACATTATTGTGGTCGAAGGGTGAATACATGAAAATGTTCTTCACAAATCATTGCTCATTGGGAAATATTTTTAAATTCTCTACATAAATAATGTACCCGATATTTGATAGAAATTATTGCAACATCATATAGATAATACCATTAATTTATATAACACGAGTATATATATATATATATATATATAAATATTAGCTAATATTGTAGAATATTTAAAGAACAGTTACCATCTAAAGAAATGTTATAAAATAGTTTGATGAAGAATTTTACAATCCATATTTTGATACGTATATTTATAAATATTGTACATAATTTTGATGATATACATAATCTATAAATTGAAAACAATTTTATTTTTGGGATTGTAATTTTGATTATAAAAGATTTTCAAATAAATAAAACGTTGCTGTAACACAGCAAAATTACAGTTATATATTTACTTTGTACTATTTTCATGAGTCTGACTCGTGATTCAAATTTTTGGTCAGACTTTAAATCACGAATCAGGCTCGTTGTTTAATTTCATGACAAACGCGAATATCACAAGTCGTACTCGTGATCTTAATCTTGGGCCAAGTATGAATGTTTGAATGAGATCTTCTCTTTTCTTCTTTATATGTTGAGAAGAGTATTTTATATCCTGTTTCCCAATGCAGTTTACGTGCTACTTAGAATACATTCTTGTCGTCCAGATAACATTTAAAAACTAAAGTTTCGATACTCGAGTTTTACCACTTCGTCTTTTTCGCAACTATTCAGCTCTGCATGGGTTAGACACAGCATGTTCCGAATTTCAGCATAGTACAAGGAGTTAATATACAATTAATATGTAATAAGATTTAGAATACTAAATACGTTTTTATTATAAATTGAATAAAGGTCGATAATGTAGGTATCGCGCGCAGTGATCCCAGAGACTTTAGTTCGTCTGATCGACACAGAGGCGTAAAATTATCGTACGCGCCGAAAAATTATCGTACGCCCCGGGAAAATTTGAAATCCGACAATTTCTCGGACGAGATTTTCAAAGTGTGGAAAAAGAGTGCAAGTTCCAACTTTTTCAAAGTTGATGACCTCTTTTTTTTTTTAGTCATCAAGTTCAAAACCCTATCATAAAAACGATAAAAACGGCGATCCGCAGGGAGATAGACTTGTTCGTACAGAGATCGTGGTGGTGGTAGTGGTAGGGGTGGTGCTGCACCTTTCCAAAATTTGTTGACTAAAAAAAAAAGAAAGGTCATCAAGTTTTCGAAATTCCAAATTGGATTGTACACCACGAATTTTGGATCGTACAGGGCCTCAAATTATCGTACGAATGGGATCACTGATCGCGCGCGCCTAAAGTTTTTATTACTTACTACTACGTGACGCTAGTATCAGATTTAGTAAATACATTTGCCACTAGAGGATTAATTTTATGACGTCAGTGTATATGCTCTATATGCAAACAATGAAGATGTGATAAGAAGTCTAACTTTCTGACGTATTCGGTTCTCTTTTACTGTTGTCATTTAGTATTTCTGTCAACAAATATAACATTAAGAATGAGACTTCTAAGATTTGAAAAATTGTTATAGTTGTGCATATAATCATCTTTATTCGAGGTATAGGTTTATTTAATTAAAAGAAAAATAATCCTTAGTATTAGTAGATATAATATTGCGTTAAAATAATACTTTAGAGATGACATCATTTGATATGATTGATTTGTTAGGATTTTTTATTTATTATTCCAAATGAAAGAAAATTTTCAAAGAATATTTATAGATTACAAATAAGATATATTATATTATTATTATTATTATTATTTTGTATTGATATATTTGACAGGTAGACGAGATAAATTAGTCATGTGGATTGTACAAGTCATATGCATAGTCACATTAGTGACCACAATTAACAGTAGTGATATAACTACAGCTGTATTCGGTAATGTGCTTGATGGCATGCCTGCAGCATTTGGAGATTTTGATTCAGACGAATTAACAGATGTATTTATGGTACGCAAGGATGGTAAAACTGTACAAGTTTTTCTTGCCGCAGAACAAGAACCTTTGTTAAGACCAGACGATAATCTTAAGTGTACCTTTGAAGAACCCGTCACAAGCGTTGTACCAGGAGATTTTGACGGAGATGTCTTTATGGATATTTTAGTAACAACTACTAATTCGACAACTAAACTTACCGATGTATATATCTTATGGGGGGGAAATAAAGATTCGGTTGTACAATTAAATTGTACAACTCGACCTTTATTAAGTATGCAAGGTCAACCATTGGCTTTAGATTATAATCAAGACATGATCATTGATCTTTTTGGCATGGATGAAAACTACAATAGAACTTTTTGGATATTCACTGAAAATAGAGGAAAGTACGATACTAAACAGATGTCACACAAAGATCATAGAAAAATGGAACCTATAAGCCATCCACACTCCAATGCTTTTCTTGATTTAAATAATGATTTTTTGCCTGATCTTGTTGTAACTACTAAAAAGTCTTTTGAAGTTTGGCGCGGCGAGGAAGATGGTTTTACTTTTGAAAAAGAGTTCGATTTACCGCATAATGCGGAAGTTATTGGCCAAACTCTTTACCTTGACGTTGAACTTACAGGAAAGGCTGATCTACTTTTGCCGCTTTGTTATGACAAAGCAAAGCATACCAATTGTACCATAATGATGTATTCCAAAGGATGGCACGATTTGCAAATTAATTTTAGAGATAAAAGTAATACTTGGGCATTTGTCAAAGGAGATGGTCAACGTTATACTGATACAATAACGCTCAGAGGTGGAGATTTTAATATGGATGGTTATCCTGATTTATTAGCAACGTTAGAATCTACTAGCACTAAACAGCGACAATCGTTTTTGCTTGAAAATGTTGCTTGCAATTCTTGCAATGGCTTCAATCGAACTTTTGATATACGCTGGCAAGCCCTCAATCCATTTTATAACGAAACTGTTATGGCAGTATTTTACGATTTTTATCAGGATGGTATTTTGGACGTAATATTGGTAGAACTAGATAAAATCAATAAAGTTTATCGTACTGCTGCATTTAAAAACAGTTTGGATTATGATGCCAATTTTGTTAAAGTTATGGTACTCACTGGACGTAACAACAGCATGTATCCTATTTCGCCTGGTTCATTAGGAAAGAAAAAACGTACATATGGAACGAATCTACCTGGACCATCAATAGCTTACAAGACTACTACGCAAGACGGTTATCCGCGTAATGCCATTGCTGCTCAATTGTCACAAAGTGCATATTTTTCGTTAAATTTACCATATACCACATTTGGATTGGGTAGAACACCAAACTTTGTTGATTCCTTGACGATAGGAGTAAGTTACCAAACACACAATCTCTATCAAATGACATTCAATCGATTGATTAAATTTAGACATAGTAAATAAATGACATTAAATATAATATACTTTTATATACAATTATACAATGTTCTTTCACAGGTCGGTGGTAAATCAAGAGAATGGCCACAAATTATTCCAAATTCTCAAATGGTAGTAATACCAAATCCAATATCGAGACCATACAAATGGAAAGCTCAATTATTTGTTACACCTAGTAAATTAATTTTATTAAGTGCAGCTGCTTTAAGCGGAACCTGCAGTCTTATTTCATTAATTATCGTTTTGTTATATTGGAAGGAGAGGAGGGAAGATAAAATAGAAAAGCTTCAAGAAGCTCATAGGTTTCCTTTTGATGCTATGTAAAAATAGAATTTAAGAAAATATATTAATTAAGAATTATTTAATTATTTAACAGAATTATTAATTAATAAATAAGTATTGCTTCCGATTTATTATATTATCCTTTTTTTTTGTTTTTACTTTTCATAAATATACCAATAAACAATTTTCCTTTCTCTCTCTCTCTCTCTCTCTCTCTCTCATTCTTTTAACAGAGTATAATACTTTTTTTCATTCCAATAGAAATTGTGAAATTCTGATAAAATTCATAATTTATTGTTTTGCCTTATGCATTTGTGTTTTTTTTGGTTTTGTTTTTTTTATATATAAAACAGGACTTTTTAATATCACACAATATGTTTGGCGCATCGAGTGCGAAATGTATCAACAAACGATCTTTCGTCGGAGTATTTTTGGTCTGTAAATTTGAAGCACGTAACTTCAAAAATTCTAAAACTAACACAAGATTGCTATTGGCAACGATCATTTTTAATGGCAGGGTTTAAATCATTAAAATAAGAATGCGCCATTGCTTCTTCCGCTGATAATCGTAGTGCTGGATTACACACTAATAATCTCTGAAAATATTTGGAAAAAAGTCTTGAAATGCATCTATACTATTTGTTATCTTTGAAAAAATGAATATATGTAATATTATAAGAGAACATCTATTGCTTGCCTGCAATAAATCTTTTCCTCTTGAGGTAAGTTTTGGCGTAACTTGAGCCAATCCTTGTGTAGGATGATACTGTGGAAAGGGTTTGTAATCTATCAACATCGTTAATTCTGGCCATGTTTCTTCCGTCGGTGTACCCAACATTTTAAAAATTCTTTTTAATTGATCATCTATGTCTGAGCCAGGAAAAAGCGGTCTTCCTGCATTTGCTAACTCTACGCAAATAAAATGTCCAAATTGATAATCATCAATTTATTATTTAAAAGTATACTTGATATATTGTTTATAATGGATATACCAGCAAATATACATCCGGCACTCCACATATCAATGGACGTTGTGTATAATTTTGCTCCAAAAAGAACATCTGGTGGACGGTACCATAATGTAACAACCTCCGCAGAATAACACTTAACCGGAATGCCAAATGCTCTTGCTAATCCAAAATCAGCAAGCTTCAACTCGCCATTCTAGGAGATAAGTAGATTTAAATAAAATCATTAAATTCTATATATAACTTATATATTATCCAAAAATTATACCTTATTGATTAGTAAATTTTGTGGTTTTAAATCTCTGTGGAGTACATTACGGCTGTGACAAAATGCTAGTCCACGTAACAATTGATAACTAGAAGAAATAAAAAATGCATTAGTAAATCATAGTAGCTCACAATTATCATATTTATAGAAAGAAAATAAGATTCTTACAAAAATGATTTCACTACGTCTAAGTCTATTTCTCCATTTAAACTATCAAAGTATTTTTTAAGATCTTGGTCGCAGTGCTCGAACACTAAAGTCAGTTTTTTATCGCTATGTAATACATCATAAAGGCGTACTATATTCTTATGTTTTAATTCTTTTAATAAACAGATTTCACGAAGGGCTGAGGATGGTACACCCTAAACAAACAAACAAACAAATAAACAAGAAATATATATATATATATATATATATATATATATATACAATAATAATAGAGTAAAGAGAGGATGATCACACAGAGATTATTATTAACCATATATTGTAAAAATGATAAAAAATAATATTTCAATATACCTACTTCGTCATCATCGTCCAACCGTACTCTTTTCAAAGCGACGATTTCGTGAGTTTCCCGGTTCTTCGCTTTGAAAACGGTGCCATAAGTGCCTGAAAATAAATGATGTTTAATGTTGACAGTTCACTGCATAATAATAGTGACGCATTCTCTTCTGTCATATGCACTAAACACATACACACATTATGCGCCGACGACGATAGTTATATCGGTTTGGTTCTTTTTTTTAGCGGTTAATATAAACGCCTAATTAATGAAATTGCAAATAAATAATTAATAGGGTAACTATATCGTCAGCCTACCTTCTCCTATTTTTTCGAGTTTCTCATATTTTTGCATATTTTTGGTGTTACTTCGGGGCGGAATGCACACGCACAGTGGTTACCGCTGCGCCGTTACGACTAAACTTCGCGCATTTACATATATATCATATGCGCGGGAAATACAAATTACATTGAATCGTTGGATTAAACTCGAATGAATATATTTACTTATTTAAATGATTTATTATATTATTCTAGATCGATATATTACGTTTGCAAAGATAGAAATTACTTGTCTTTTTTTTTTATTGAGATAGGCTTGTACTTAACATTCATTATTCCACATTTATTATTAGTTCATTATTGATCGTTTGTGACAATTATTTGCGACGTAATTTTTCATTATCGTATCGTGTTGTATACTACGCTTTAAAATTTATTCGTAGAATCCGTTTTTCTTATCTGAAAATGATTGCATATTAAAAATTACATATATTTATGAATAAATTAAATAATATTTATATAACATTCTCTCTCATACGGTAATATCATATTAGGAGATAATGTAGAAACAAGGGACAATCGTGTTAATGTTTTGCATTAACCGCCATGATCAAATTACTAAATATTATTAATATATAGAAAAAATAATTATTTGATTAATTTCAAAGTATATTTTAATACAGTAAAATAATGAAAATAATTAAATAATAAATATGTTCTGTGACGTGCGAGAGAAAAGAAGAAAAGGATAAATTTTTGTAAAAGAGGTTACAGGAAATAGAAAAAAGTAGCAATATTATTGGTCATCTATAGATAGACATATACTTGTTATTGGTTGTTAATACAATAGCGCCAATCTTCACATTGTTCAAGTTTCCGTTGTACGTTGGATTACGAGTTTGAACGTAAGAAAAAATTATATTAATTGGAAGAATTAATTATGCAGATGAGTTATCAAATTTTTTGTCAAATTATTCTATACGAAAAAAAAGTCTTTTCTTCGGAAACATCCACCCCCTCCGTTAATCTTTAATATGATATAAATTAATCATGTACCTCGTATTCCAATTATTTAATAGCGCCATATTCGTCCTGATAAACCTAATGGTCGTTTTATATACGCTACAACGTGTGAGTATTAAGTTTTTATTTTAAATATCTTATATTTTCAATTTATTCGTATTAAAATAAAGAAGACTGTTGCAGTTCTTTTGGGCAATGAAACAGCATTATAAAATCGTGGCAGATATCACTGATTTTCATTCAATGGTAAATATATACACACATATCGATGTAGGGGTTGGGATATTTTAAATTAGATATTTAAATCACTAATTTATTTTGATATTTAATTTATAGGTAAATGAATCTCGTGCCAGTTTAGATTACATGAAATGCAAGATAATGGAGACAATGGACGAGGTGTTTAACGTTAGATTTTTTATTTTCAATTTATTTTATAACGAAAGAAATCTCGTAGATTAAGGAAGACGTCAACAAGGAACTCTGCATTACCGATCGTTTGACAAAACTTAGTTCAAAAATAGCTGCATTATCGCAAAGATTCAATGCTGTCGAAGAGAGTGTAATAGAGGTAAAGACTCTTATTTTTCATTTTTAAATTATTCTCTATGTGTTAATAATTATAACACCTAACTGGTTCAACTAACAAATTTGAAAATAGTATTATTTATAGTACAACATTAGTCAGTATTATATAATAATAATAATAATAATAATAATAATAATAATTTTTAGTCCCTAATATACATATCATTCAAATGAACTTTGATTTTATTTGTATTAATTAGTAAAAAGTTAAATTAAATTAAGGTTATATATTTATATTTCTATAATTAAATTTAGTTTGTACGTATGGATCATAATATGGAAAGCGTTAGAGTGGAGACACCGGATGACATAAACGAAGAGATGAATAAAATACTGAGGAATTTAATGGATAATAAAGAGCAACGAGGGAAATCATTGAAACATCTAAATCGCTAGATTTAATCTTTTTATTTGCGTTACATTTTCATTATATTTTCAAAGCACACATAAAGAATGAATTAATTACAATATCGTGATACGATATTTCACATTTGAAATTTCAATCATCAATAATGATGTCATTGTAAAATGACCCCTTATCTATGCAACGATATTTTCGAAATATCATTTGTCTATTTATCCCTTTTTAAACGTGATTATTAATATATATATATACCATCAATAAAATATATTTTTCTAATCAGTCAAGTATTCGTTCTCTCGAATGTTATCAAAAAAGGAAAATTAAGATCGTAACGTAATAGAAACGAGAGATTCATTATTTACATTTAGTTATACACATACTTTCACATAGATTTTTTTATTTCAATTTTATATTTAATGATATTTTTTGATACGTCTTATATATTTTTTTTTGTCTTTTCTTATGTTTAATTTTGACGTCAAATTAATATCTATCGATATGAATCGTTTATAATAATTATAATATCATATGATATTTTTCCAAAGAAATGGAGTACCTTAAAAGAGTATTCCAATAATGTGTCTAGCTTGATGATTTAACGTTGTTGTTGCTGTTGTAACTGCTGCTGTTTGACTAGGTAATTACTCAATCTCTTAACGAACCCACTCCAACCTACACGATCGATCTCATCAAAATTTCTTTTGTAGAAATTGTCGAATGCGTTCGCATCAATCTCATCAAAGTTTCTCTTTCCAAAACGATCGAGAACGAATGGATGAATGTCGTCATAATCGCCGAGTCGTGTATTCAACGTTGCTGGTTTCCTGGAACATACGAACGCATAAGAAGTTTTGTTAAAATAATCGTTAATAATATATAATAGAATTATCTTTTTATTTTTTGATAAAGACAAAATAAAGATTATTGTTAATATTAGATTACTTTTGTAGAGATACAATTTTTCGATTATTCCTTTAATCCTTTAATCATATAATTGTTTGTATTTTACCTCAAAGGAAAATATCGTTGTTTCTCGTAGATAAGGGCAGGATAAAAGTCAAGACTACGACGAGTTGATCGTAACAAATGGCCACCACCACCACCAACACCAATGCCGCCCAAATTATGTCCATCGGGTATACCTTTGGAATCAGATAAATATTAATCATAGGATGTGTATGAAATCTAATTTTGAACAAAAGAGAATATTTGAATTAAGGATGATCGTAGGACAGGTAGGATTATTAGGATAAAATTGAAGTAATATCTATTATTTGTGTGATCTGAAAAATTTTAATAATATTTAACAATAATCATAAAGAATTTTATTGGTGCTTTAATATTATGCAATAGTTGTATTGATTTGTGTAATCGAATAGCGTTGCGCAACATAAGAACAATTTGCAAATTTTCGTCATTTTTCCGTTGATCAATCTTCTTTATTTGTATTTGCATTCATTTTCTTTTGTTTGTTCAAAACTCTTTTTATATCATGTTATCAATCAGAGGTCATTCGTAGAATCGTTCAATGTCACGGACGAGATTCCCTCCGCCGATTTGATCCAAATTTCTTACGAGATTTCCACCGCCGATTTGATCCAAATTTCTTACGAGATTTCCACC